ATTGATTTCAGTTCCGCCTTCAATACTGTGATCCCATCCAAGCTGATCTCCAAGCTCTGTGATCTTGGCATCAGCCCCTCCCTCTGTAACTGGACCCTGGACTTTCTCACCAACAGACCACAGTCTGTTAAGATCAGTAACCACACCTCCTCTGTCCTCACTTTAAACACTGGGGTACCACAGGGCTGTGTGCTGAGCCCAATACTCTACTCCCTTTTCACCCACGACTGCATACCTGTGCATGGCTCTAACTCCATAATCAAGTTTGCAGATGACACCACGGTGGTAGGCCTGATCAGTGGCAATGATGAGACGGCCTATAGGGACGAGGTTCAGCATCTAACAACGTGGTGTGCCAACAATAACCTTGCACTCAACACCCAGAAGACCAAAGAGCTGATTGTTGATGACCGGCGGACTAAGAAGGACCACGCTCCCATCTACATTGATGGGGCTGAAGTGGAGCGCGTGGCGAGCTTTAAGTTCCTTGGTGTCCATCTCTCTGAGGATCTTTCTTGGTCCCTCAATACCTCCACACTGATCAAAAAGGCACAACAGCGCCTTTACTTCCTTAGGAAACTAAGGGAAGCTCACCTGTCCCCCAACATCCTGCTGAACTTTTACCGTTGCACTATTGAAAGCATTCTCACAAACTGCATCACAGTGTGGTATGGCAACTGCACTGTTTCGGACCAGAAAGCCCTCCAGCGGGTGGTGAAAACTGCCCAATACACCACTGGTGTTGGGCTACCCTCTATCAAAGACGTTTCCCACAAACGCTGCCTAAGGAGAGTGAGAAGCATAATCAAAGACTCCTCTCACCCCAATCACAGACTGTTCACTCCTCTCCCATCGGGGAGACGTTATAGGAGTCTTCACTGAACTTTTACCGTTGCACTATTGAAAGCATTCTCACAAGCTGCATCACAGTGTGGTATGGCAACTGCACTGTTTCGGACCAGAAAGCCCTCCAGCGGGTGGTGAAAACTGCCCAATACACCACTGGTGTTGGGCTACCCTCCATCAAAGACGTTTACCACAAACGCTGCCTAAGGAGAGTGAGAAGCATCATCAAAGACTCCTCTCACCCCAATCACAGACTGTTCACTCCTCTCCCATCAGGGGCACTTTATGAGTCTTCGCTGTCGCACAAGCAGACTCAGGAACAGTTTATTTCCCTCAGCTGTCAGCCTACTGGACTCCAATCTCAAGCGCTGAACACTACATCCTAGATGGACCACCTAATGGTAAAAAAAAAAAACGGCACTGTACAATAACCTGTCTGCACTCCTTACTCACAATATTCTTATTATTCCCTGTTATTTTGCAAATTTCTCTGATATTTTCCCGTGCATATTTCTACCTCCGGATGCCATTTGCACTGTTATGGTCATTGGCCATTGTAACAAAGGTTCAGGAGGGTGGAAGGAAGAAGGCAGGGTCGGCTTGCTGGGACGCGAGCTTTATTTAAATGTCTTTGGGCACTGCACACAATACGTTCTTATTATTCCCTCTGTTATTTTGCACATTTCTCTGATATTTTGCACATTCCTTTGCACATTTCTACCTCCGTATGCCTTTTGCACTGTTATGGTCATTGGCCATATATAAACATATGTTATTTATGTACCTCACTGTATAATGCACCTTCTGTTTATACTCACTGTATAATACACCTTCTGTTTATACTTTCCTTGCACCCTATGTTGTATGTACAGTCATTTGCATTGAGCTGGTCTCTGCCCTCCTACCTCATAACTTGCACTATATGTCATAAAGCTTAATGTATATACACAATTTATATTTATTTATATACTTTGTTATTTGCACTTCTGGTTAGATGCTAACTGCATTTCATTGGCTCTGTACTTGTACTCTGCACAGTGACAATAAAGTTGAATCTAATCTAATCTAATCTAAAATTACACACTGCATGAAAGGCAATATTAGAAATGGCATAATAGGGGCATTTTAAATTGAAACCATGCATTCCTATAGTATCAATGTATTGAAGGGACATTTAACGTCAAAGCGAGGTTGTTTTGTGTGGCATAAAACTTGCTTTCCAATAAGACAGAATCTTTTGGTTCTTGACATGATATCAGACAGACAACTATGGTTTTCCATTTAACACTCTTTTTTATTTTCCATCTTCCAGTAGTGAAGCATTTGTCGTCTTCTCTGGGGGTCTTTCGTATGATAAGGCAGGACGTAGACCCACCCTAACCATCATGCATGGCAAAGCCATTACAGTGTTAGAGATGGACTATCCAATAGTGGACTTCCTAGTGCTCTGTGACACACCCTATCTCAACGGTGAGTGTACTGAACAGGTCAGTCCTGTCTCCTGCTCTCTTCCATATCATTAGTGTTGTTTTTGGTGGGACATTTAATTGGATTGAGTAAAACCAAGTTTTCATTCTTTTTCTCATTGTATACCCGATCATTAACAGAGAGTGGAGAGGAGATTAATTTTAAGTGAATCAGTTAATTCGTTCAGACAGTTCATAATGGTTCAGTTCAAAACAACTGATTCATTTGAATCATCACTAAAGGAGAGTTCAAAAAAGTGCATGTTCTACATTTGAAGTCTTTCTTATTTTGAAATTAAATATTTATTTAGTTAAATAATTATACAATTTTCTGTAATATTACGTTTGACAAATTAGGGTGTTGTATTGGTATTTGATTTATTTTTATATATTTGTTTCAGTTTGATGTCATCACTTTAAATAAGATCCTGGTTGTATTTGTGCTACATGAAAATAATAATAATAAAAATAAAGACAATATTACATGATTTTTTTGTTAACGCTTTACAATAAGGTTCCATTAGTTAATGTTAGTTAACGTACTAACTTACACGAATTAACAATGAACAATACATTTATTACAGTGTTTATTAATCTTTGTTAATGTTAGTTAACGTACTAACTTACACGAATTAACAATGAACAATACATTTATTACAGTGTTTATTAATCTTTGTTAATGTTAGTTAATGAAAATGAACCTTATTGTAAAGTGTTACCTTTTTTTTAGCTTATGGTTCTAACATGTTCCTCAACTGATTGTTTTATCCCCCAGAAAATTCTCCCTTACAATTCAGGGATTTTATCAAGTACAACTAAAAAATTTGGTGTCAGTAAGATTTTTTAAAAATTAATTAATACTTAGGGAGGCATTAAATCGATCAATTGTGACATTAAATACATTTGTAATGTTATAGAAGATTTACATTTCTTTTGAACTTTCTATTCATCATTGCATTCTGAAAAGGGTAGCATGGTTTCCAGAAAAATATTAAGCAACTATTTTCAGTATTCAGTAAAACAGCTATGCTATTACGGGAGTAAATTACATTTTAAAACACATTTAAACAGACAACAGGTATTTTTAAATTGTAAAATTTCATAATATTACTGAATTTTTGATCAAATAAATTAAACCTTGGTAAGTATAAAAGACAGAAAAAAATCTCATCTAACCAAACATTTGAATGGTAGTGTAAATGCATTGTGAGTCAATTACATAAAATCTTCAGAAACAACCAACTGAAAGGAGCAATTAATTTGTGAATCTGACATCAGTAAGGCGTGATGCGAATTGATTCTGAAAGGTTTGGGAAGTGACAGCTTCGGCTCTGTTCAGTCAAGGGGTGTATCTCTATATCTGTCTTTTTCTCTTGAGAAAAGCAGAAACAGACAAAGCCCTGTCATGCACATGTACACACATGCACAAAATGTGTTACCCAGAATGTAAAAAAGAGACGGCAAACATCCAGCAAATGTGAAGATATCAGTTGTTACCCATTTTTTCCCTTTCTCCCTCTCAACTCTCTGCTTGTTCGTTCATTCTTACCAGTGCATATACAGCACAGTACGTGGCCCTGCATCTTCATGACCTATGGTTTTCATGAAAAGAGAATAATGGATTTTTTATTTGAACACTAAATCAGTCTTCTACTGGTCAGACAAACACTACTCATTATTGGAACATTTCGGCTCAAATAAACACAGAAATGTTTTTTTGGGGGGGATGTACCACCCAAAAATGAAAATTTGGTCATCATGTATTCACCCTCATGTCACTCCAAACCTGTATGACTTTGTTCTGTGCAACACAAATATTCATAATATATTAATCTTCAAAATGTTTGGAAAATTATTTTGTATTTGAAAAAGTATTTTGTCCATGCAATGAAAGTCAGAGGGGTCCAATGTTGTAGTTTCATATGTCTCCTTTAAATAATATCCATAAATCTAGAGTCATAAATCTATGTTTTTTTTATGCTCACCCTTGTCTTGAGTTCATAGATGGTTATTGGTTGAGATGTTGTGTTTTTTGTTGACAGAGGTCCAAGAGCCATATGCGGTGGTGGTTCTGCTGGAAAAAGATTTTGTTGTGGTCGATCTAACCCAGAGCAAGTGAGCAATCTCTTCTTCAGTATCTATTTCTCTTTCCGCTGTCATACTCACACGCGTTATGCCATGTGTGTGTGTGGCTGAATGATGTAACTCAATGTGATGTACTCCAACAGCACCTCACATTAGTACTTCCACCAGAGGCAACATCGCTCAACACCCAATAGATTGTGTATGTTACTTTTGTAGCTGCTTTGTGGAAAAGGGTTTAAATCTGAGTGTGTGTGTGTGTGTGTGTATTTATTTGTTAAGAGTAAATATCATTGGATTTGCCACTCATAAACATCCATCAAATGAATCATTATAAAGAACCAGAGCTAAGGTCAGCCTGACACTCACACACACACACACACACACACACACACCAACTGGCCGTTCGTCACTCTTTTAAGTATTACTCCTGCCATAGAGACTTTGTCAGTTTGACATCAGATGTTTTCTTTGCTTTAAGGCCATTTCTTCACAAGGGCACAGCGAAAGAACAAACAAACTGCTGCACCCAAACCCTCTCAGAACCAAACAGTCATCCATACATTTAAACTTGATTTTTTAAAGTGTACTGTAGTTTAGTTTTACCTTCTTTAAAAACGTTATATAGTTAAATAAGGTAAAAGGTATATAGTAATAATAATAAATTATTATTACTAATTATTATATAGTAGTAGTAATAAATAAGGTATATAGTAAAAGCAATAAGCCACTAAAGGCTGCAATGTACTGTATGTTGCAATGATTTTACTACAGGCACTCTTAAAAACATGGTAAAATCACACACAACCTAGAGCTTATTACTGTTGTATCAACAATTGCAAGATGATAAAGACACTAACACTTACATTTATTAAGAATGAAAATAACACTAGCACTTACAATTTATTATTATTATCACTATCATCATTATTATTACATTCTTAATTATTATTAATTCTTCTGATGGATGATATAATTCAGTTGCATAAATGTAGGCCAGTGGCATCAATACAAGTACCCGTGGGTATCAGTACCTGGTAGCCCACTTAGAGTTGCCCACAGAGCACATTCTATAAATAGCCTTGTTCCCTTTCATGGGAACTTCGAACTGCGTCCTCTATGGGTCGCTATGGGGAATGCCTCATCGTGACCCGTGTCTGAAGCATACATTGAAAAACACCAACTCGTTGGCCGGCGACAGCCATGACGTCACTACCGGTGCAACTATAAAATAGGCGCCAGGAGCACACATCATTCTCTTCTTCGTCTTCATTGACTGTTTTGTTTGAAGCGTGCATTTCTGTGGTAAGAGCGATCTCTATTTATCTCATTATGGCGAGCACTAGCAAAGCATTTAAGGATGTGTGTATCCGTGTTGACGTTGTTTAACATCTGATGACACACACGATCCAGATGCTTGGAAAACTCTCAAATAAGTGCAGCACGTTAAGCTTTGCACACTTTCTAAAATCCACATAGCTGGTAAGTGTGCACGTTATGCTTTACACACTTTCTAAAATCCACATAACTGGTAAGTGTGCACATTATGCTTTGCGCACTTTTCTAAAATCCACATAAGTGGTAAGTGTGCACGTTATGCTTTGCCCACTTTTCTAAAATCCTGTATGGTAGGGGTTATGCGTTATTGACCTCGTTCCCTTTCTCTGAGTTGGTTAGACCCACGGTTCCTTGGGCTCCACTCAACTGGTGTGTCTCTGTCGACACACTTTGGAAGCATCGCTCCCCTCACCAGTGAGGGTTATTATGAGTATGGTGCTTTCTTTCGAGTGTTAATCCTCTCTGAGGAGTTGGATTCCTCGCTCCATGGGCTGAACTGCTAGGCACTCCAGCATTATAGCCTTAGACATAGCGTTTGGGGATACGCTATTTCTATCTATGGGCTGCTCTTTCAGGGTGCCACGAGAACCCCTAGAATGGTATTCAAGTGTGTGCACGTTATGCTTTGCCCACTTTCTAAAATCCACATAGCTGGTAAGTGTGCACGTTATGCTTTGCTCACTTTTCTAAAATCCACATAAGTGGTAAGTGTGCACGTTATGCTTTGCCCACTTTTCTAAAATCCTGTATGGTAAGAGCTACGCGCAACGACTTTGTGCTCTTTCTGAGTGGTTTAAAACCTCGGTTCCGCCTTGGGCACCGCTCCTCCTATCTTCTAGATACCTACTTAACAGGGTGTTGCTACTAAGGGTCTGTTGAGTTCCCATGGGCGACTCCCATAGCAATATGGTAGAGTTGGTACTTAGTGCTCGCCATGGTTTCTGGCATGCACTCCCCTCAGCATGGTGGCGTGGGTATACCGTTCCCCATAGCGACCCCTAGAGGACACAGTTCGAAGTTCCCATGAAAGGGAACGTCTCAGGTTACTTATGTAACCATGGTTCCCTGAGTAGGGAACGAGACACTGCATCCTCTAGGTTTCTTGCCATGCTGCGGATGCAAGCTTCAGATGAAGAAGTGAATGATGTGTGCTCCCGGCGCCTATTTTATAGTCGTACCAATAGTGACGTCATGGCTGTCGCCGGCCAACGAGTTGTTTTTCAATGTATGCTTCAGACATGGGTCATGACGAGGCGTTCCCCATAGCAACCCCTAGAGGACGCAGTGTCTTGTTCCCTACTCAGGGAACCATGGTTACATAAGTAACCTGAGACGTTTTTTTTATCATAATAATGCTCATTCTTAAGTGTTTCAAACATGTAGTCTTCTAGCCCTTTTATCCATTCAGGTCGCTCTCTCTTACAGTAAGAATGGAGACCCCCTGTTTATGGTCACCTATAGCAACATAATGCACTTTAATACAGATTTCAGTTGATGTACGGTCACAGATGTGTGTGTGTATGTATATAGGCTATTTTATGAAAATTTTAATGTGACTCTTACAGTTGGAGTTGAGTCAAAATCGTCTGTGTTTTATAAATGCCTGTTATTTATTTAGAAGTCTCTCTCCTTTAGTTTTCCTATCTTTGAGAACCCCTACCCCATGGACATCCATGAGTCTCCAGTCACGTGCACGGCTTACTTTGCCGACTGTCCCCCCGACATCATACCCGTGCTTTACTCCATAGGAGCTAAACACAAAAAGACCGGCTACAGCCACAAGGTTTGTCAAAGTTCTTAGCTAATCTAAACACTTTCTGGAGTTTCTCGATGACCCAAATTGCAGCCTTTCATTTAAAATGCTTAGTCAGTGTAACTTATCATCTATTTTTCATGGCAGTTGAGTGTTTTAGAAACAGTTTTTATCTGTTTGTGTTCAGGAGTGGCCGGTCAGTGGTGGCACATGGGCAGTCGGTTCACAGACATATCCAGAGATTATCATCACAGGGTAAGTGAATTTGTGTGCGCTTTATGTTATTAACCTTCAACTGTTGCTAAAAGCTTTATAATACTGTAAAAGCTTTACGGTATTATATGCTTGAAGCTTCATGCAAGTTCATGTTCAAGTTTGGGGTTGGTAAAATGTTTAAATGTTTTTAAATGAAGTTCAAATCTTACCAAGGTCAAAAATACAGTAAAAAATTACATTTAAAAATAAAATAAGAAAACAGTCATATTGTGAAATTTAAAGTAACTGCTTTCTATTTGAATATATTTTAAAATGTAATTTGTTCCTGTGATGGCAAAGCAGAATTTTAAGCCATTACTTTGGTCTTCACATGATCATTCAGAATTCATTCTAAAATGCTGATTTGGTGCTGAAGAAACTTTTTTTATTATTATTATTATCAATGAGGAAAACAAAAAGTTGTGCTGCTTAATATTTTTGTGGAAAACTTCTTAATGATTCTTTGATTTATTTTAAATAGATTTTGAACTTTAATGTATGTTATTTAACAAACCAATGTGTGATTTTCTGTTCATTACATATTATATTTACATGAATTTGGCTGAGGCATTGGAAGAATTAGATAGCTTTTTTAGCATTTCATATAAACATCAGGCTGAGTAAAATGTGTGCTTTTTTGTACAAAACTGAATATGCGGATGACGCAGCTGTCCCAGAGCAACACGCTTCATTTTCTCACTTGGATGTTTGTGCATTTATCACATTGTCGCTCATAGCAGTATTGACAGGTACAAGGAAACATATTGGGAATGAAAACTGAATGTCACTGAATTGCCAATTCTCCACTGAATGATGTTTAGATATGATACATTAATGGGTGTTTCTTCAAATATGTGCACCTTTGACCCTGTGAACTTTTACAAAATACACTCTCTTAAACTAACTTTTAAACTAACTTTCCACACTTTTTCTAGTCTATTTCATGGATCTACCAACAGTGTCCAACATACATGTATCACAGAGATGTATTTTTGTCATGTATATCACAGTATCATTTACACCATGTCACATGATGTTGTTAAGATTTCCTATGTTTATGTAATCTAAAGTCTTCTTCTGAATAAAATTAGTAAAATGCTTCTTATGAATGAAATTAGTAAAAATGAAATTAGTAAAACAATTGTATTATTAGTTAAAAATAATAAAAGAATTTGAAAGCATAAAGTTTGTCTTGGACTATCTTCAGAAGGGTTGTTGTGCAGGTATTAAAAAAACAAAAAACAGCCCACACTATAGGTGATGCTTCCTACCTAAAATATTTTCACGCCCCTGCCTCAAAAAAGTTCAACTTTCCGCCCACATGTGGAGGTCATTTATAATATTTTTATTTGCTTGAAAACTCTGGATTGATTTTGTTTTTGTTCCGAAGCATGCATTGATTCCGTTTGTTTTCACTTGAAGTCAGTGTCTAAAATGTGCCCTTCTGGTTGGCTCTCATTGGTAAATGTATTGCACTTCTCCGCTTTAATTCAATAGCACTATTGACCCTGCGTGTTGTTCTCTCTGCCTCTTTTTCCCTCCTGTTTCCATAGCTGTCATCGCTTGGTTTCTCTTAAGCTGTGTAACGCACACATTCAGTTGCTCATACGATCGCTTTTTGTCCTTCCTCTTTGTTGTCCCCCTCAGACATGCAGACGGATCAATAAAGTTTTGGGATGCCACAGCGAGTAAGTGTCTACACTTTGACAAGCTTGTTCCCCCTTTCAGTCTCATGCTGTTTCCGTCTCACTCTTTCTTAGGTTCGTTTTGGATGAACAACCTCCATTGATGCTTTGCCATATGATTCCTCATTTCTCATTTCATTCTTTACTACTCAGACCAAACAATATATGACCAAAGTGGACATTCAAATACCAAATATGTGCTGGTTTCACAACCATGGACATTACTTTAAGGAATATTCTGGGTTCAGTGCAAGTTAAGCTCACCCAACAGCATTTGTGGCATAATGTTGATTACCACAAAAATTATTGATTTATTCCTTGTTTTCTATTATATACTATATTATCGGGACTTCATCTTTTTTAAAGTGACATGCCATGTGGCCAAGTATGGTGACCCATACTCAGAATTAGTGCTCTTGCATTTACCCATCCAAAGTGCGCACACACACAGCAGTGAACACACACCCAGAGCAGTGGGCAGCCATTTTTCCATTAGGCCACTGGCCTTTTTTTTTATTTAAGAAAATAAATATATATATATGTTACTGTTAGCCTAGCCTGTTCACACCAAAACCTATATGGTGAGGAACTTACAGTGGAAGTAAATTTAAGAATTTAAAATTAGAAATGTTAAGTTTACTTGAATTCTTGTTTTTAAACGTTTTGTTATTTCAGATGTAAAGCTGTTTGAAATCTGCATGAAATAAAAATTGACACTTTACTTTGTTATTGCTAGTCTGTAGGTGAAAATTAATCTGTTAAAAGTTAATACAGAAAAAAAAAGTTTGTCTTGGTAATTTTTAATGAAAATCTGAAATTTTGTGTTCCTTCTCTGATGACGTCAGTTATTCTTGTAGAATTAGAACAATTATTAAATTATTAATAATTAATAATTAATTTATTCTTAATTTTATTGCTTTTGGTGTGAACAGGCTAGGCTAACAGTAACATATATATATATATATATATATATTTTTTTTTTTTTTTTTTTTTTCTTAAAGTAGACACTAATCCAATGGTAAACATCATTATGCCACTGTTAAGTGTAATCAATTGAGCTTAACTTGTACTAAACACAGAATATTTCCTTTAAAGCACTGTTTCTGTTTAAATACCTTGTTCATCACATTCAGTATGTAATAAGATGTGATGTGGTGATAACCTCCATCTCTGTCAGTCACACTGCAGATGTTGTATAAGCTCAAGACGTCAAAGGTGTTTGAGAAGCCTAAGAGTGGAGATGTGGGACGCAGCGCTGAGCTTGTGGAGGAAGACCCCTACGCTGTTCAGATGATCAGCTGGTGCCCGCAGAGCCGTATCTTTTGTGTAGTCGGCATCAGCGCCCACGTCATCCTGTATCGCTTCAGCAAACATGACGCCAACACCACTATCACGGTGAGTTGAGAAAACAAGTGTGCTCTTAAAGTGATAGTTCACCCAAGAATTCTATCAACATTTACTCACTCGCACTTCCAAACCTGTATGGCCTTTCTGTCTTCTGTGGAAAACAAAAGTAGATATTTTGAAGAATATTGTGTCCATACAATTAAGGTCAATGGGTTCCAAAACAACAGTGGACATCATTGACTTTTATTGAATTTTGTTTTTATTAACTTTTACTTACATCATGCGCAATCAAACCTCTACAAATGATTCTGATTGAAGCAGCACGACTGGTCTTCAACAAGCCCAAAAGGGCCCACGTCACACCTCTCTTTATCTCCCTGCTCTGGCTACTGGTTGCGGCTCGCATCAAGTTCAAGACATTGATGCTTGCATATAGAACAGCCACAGGCTCAGCACCCTCCTACTTCCACTCACTCTTACGAATCTACATCCAATCCAGAAGCCTGAGATCTACAAGTGCGCAATGTCTCGTGGTACCATCACAGAGAGGCACAAAATCACTTTCCAGAACATTTTTGTTCACCGTTCCTGACTGGTGGAATGATCTTCCCACCCCCATCCAGAATGCTGAATCCCTGACAATTTTCAAGCTGAAAATCAACAGCTGAAAACTCATCTCTTCCATCAACATTTAACTGCATCCTAAAATAAAATAAAATTTCCTTAATCTCCCCTGTCTAGCTTGTACTATTCTGAACAATGTCTGAAACGTATTACAAGCACTTCCTGTGTTTATTTGCCTGGTTATGATGAATCGCTTGTTGTGTCCCTCAATTGTAAATCGCTTTGCATAAAAGCGTCTGCTTTTATAAAGAATAAATGTAAATATAAATGTGAATGGACAAAATACACTTATATCGTCTTTTGTGTTTAGCAGAAGAAAGAAAGTGATTTTGAGTGAACTATTCCTTTAAAGCAATCCTTTAAAAGTTTGAGTACATGCTATGGATTTGATGGATTAACTTTGTGTTGTATGTGTGTGTATAGTCCCTAGAGGTGCGGTTGCAGTGTGAGATGGAGGACGTCATCTCTCCGTCGGATACAGAGAACACTCCATATTTTTCGGACCCCAGCGGTCACTCGCCCCAACCTCAGCCTCCCAGTCCCCGCAGCAACACACCGGACAGCGTGCGGGACAGCATCCCTTGCCTCAAGTGAGACTATACAGAAATTTCTCAATATTAGGACTTGACAAGACATTGTTAGCTTGCTTACTAGATAACGCTATTTAGAAAATATTAGGTTAAATAAAAGTGTAACAATCAAATTAGATTCCACAATAAAGTGAATTTGAATACTTGCCTCACAGGGTTAAAGATCGTATGATCCGAATGCCTCCTGGATACCAGGCAGAGCTAGTGGTTCAGTTATTATGGGTCGATGGAGAGCCGCCACAACAAATCACCAGCTTGGATTTAAACTCCGCCTACGGACTGTAAGTGGTCTCTAATTTTTTCAGCCAATAGAATCTCTAGAATAGTTTCCCTTGCACAAGCGTACTATAGTATTGCATTCAAGTATATTATGGTAATACCAAGGATTTGTGGACTTGTTTGGACTTGTTTACCATGGTATATGAGTATGGTTAACAAACATTGGTCCTCCCATATTTAATGTAACTGATTTGTCATCTTCAAAACTCCAAAGTCATGTGTCCAGCTGTTTATATTCCAGCACGCAGGGTGTTTGATTTTTGACTAAAGTGGTGAAACCTAATTATAATTTGGCCTTTTTTTGGATCTTTCCCTTGTTGTCATCCTGTTTTGATTCAGTCGCAACTATGTGCAACATTACTAAAGCGTTATTATGCGCAAAGGTTGCCATGGTGATGTCTGGCTACAATGGTCAGAAAGACATTGAATTGCTTTGAATTCAGTCCAGCAGATTAAATGTCACTGCACACTCGGTGTCATTCAGGCCGCATGTGTGTGTCTTGTGATTTGTTTGTTCATGACTGGACCCAGGGGTGTGGGATTTACCAGTGATTAATGGAACATTTTAAAATCAGTCTCTAGCAACTAAAATCATAAATTTACATACCCCTTTTAGAACCTGCTGGATGTTTAGCATTCTAGACAGCATAAAATGTATGTATGTGTTTATTTGGTCAAAAATTCTGTAAACACATTGATACTGTTAAATATTATTACAATGTATATATATGTCATAAATAAAAATGTGGTGTTCAAGAAACATTATCATCAATGCTGAAAACAGTTATGCTGGTTAATATTTTTGTGGCAACCATAATACATTATTTGATGCATATAAAGTTCAAAAGAAAAGCATTCATTTGAAATAGAATTATTTATTTATTGTATTGTAACAATGTAAATGCCTTTGATGTCACTTTTGATCAATGTTATGTTTCTGGCTAAATAAAAGTATGAATTTCTTTTAAAAAATGTACCCCAAAAATATATACATATTTTGCTTTTTTATATATTAAGAATTTATGCTGTTTTGACCTTTGAAATGTAATATCATTTTGATAATTTGTGTATATTTAGTTTAGTTTTGTGATATGTATGCACATCTGTTTTGTCAAATGTTTCATTAGGCCAGTACTAAAAAAAAATTAATGTAATTTATTTTTTATAATCACACTTTAAAAAAAAAAAATTATTATAAACATTTCAAAAAAATTCTGCAAGGGGTATATAAACTGCGCAAAGCTATGTGATACATTCAATAATGATATTATATTTAACTTATATTGATATAAATATTGTTAGTCATAACTGGACTTTATGAATTTTAATACGAAACATAGTTGTGTATGATCAGTGAGTGTGTGTGTGTGTTTGTGCAGGTTGGCTCTAGGTAACTGCAATGGTTTGGCAGTTGTGGACTACCTGCAGAAGACCATTTTGCTGTGTATGAGCACCCTGGAGCTGTATGGATCTGCAGACCCTTTCCAGCGACTAACACGCTCTCCTCGCAAAAACCGGCAGTCCACATCAGGTACACATGCACCTTGTGTCTCAGAATCCCACGAATGTTCAAATGCAGTGTGTTTCTTTGTAACGAAGCTGTAAAATAAATATCAGCTGTGAACACACACACAAAAAAAAATTCTGCAAGGGGTATATAAACTGCGCAAAGCTATGTGATACATTCAATAATGATATTATATTTAACTTATATTGATATAAATATTGTTAGTCATAACTGGACTTTATGAATTTTAATACGAAACATAGTTGTGTATGATCAGTGAGTGTGTGTGTGTTTGTGCAGGTTGGCTCTAGGTAACTGCAATGGTTTGGCAGTTGTGGACTACCTGCAGAAGACCATTTTGCTGTGTATGAGCACCCTGGAGCTGTATGGATCTGCAGACCCTTTCCAGCGACTAACACGCTCTCCTCGCAAAAACCGGCAGTCCACATCAGGTACACATGCACCTTGTGTCTCAGAATCCCACGAATGTTCAAATGCAGTGTGTTTCTTTGTAACGAAGCTGTAAAATAAATATCAGCTGTGAACACACACACATCACTGGCATGTATCTGCAAACATGCTCAGCATTTCAGCTATCAAAAACAAACTTTGCAGATTTCAAGCTGTCTGTCTTCTGTCCTTGCCTGTAAATGTCTCTCTTCTATTTAACACACACACACAGTCCCTCTCTTTATCTGCACTGCATTCATGGTTGCCTTCTCTGCATGTCGTCTGTTGTATCTCTCTTGTTGTTGGTCTTTGCCTGAGCACGACACCTAACAAAGAACACAGTGTAACCTGCCATACGGACTCACTGTTACTAATCCAGCACAGATCTCACTCCACCTGCCCTCCTCTATCCTCCTACCCTGACTGCTTACGCACATACACACTCACACGGACCATCCAGAGAAAGGAGATGTCATAAGTGAAAGCTAAAGATGAAGATCTGTTTTCATAGAGCATCATCAAAAGGAAGCTGCAGGGAGGCGCCATGCTGGCTCCTCACTTCAAAGTGGTCGCTCTCCCTCCTCTTGTTCATCCAGTCATATCTTTAGAAACCGAGAGGCTTTGAGCCGACATGGAGATGCAGAGGTGGGCAGAAAGGTCGTTTGGTGCGGTCGAAGAGTGATTTTGATCCGTAGCTTATGCAAGCTCTTAAAAAAAAAGTGAACGTCTTAACGCTCACCCACACACTCAGGCCAGTGTGTATAAAGAGACTGTTTTGAACACTCTCTCTCTGTTTTCTAAACTGATGTCCTGAAAGGGGCAGCAGTCCCACTCAGTTTTTATTCTATCATTGATTATATTTAGTCTTTCTCATTGTATATGGTGGGATCCATACGTCTGAGACCACTGGTCAAAATGTTTCTATTTTGACATTTTGAATGCAGTTTTTTTCAAATTATATTGTCAGCATAATCGAAATTTAAATGAAAATCCACATCCACATCCCCATACATTGGAAACTAATATTGTGAATGATTATTACAGTTTAAAAATAGCTGTTTTTTAAAATATATTTGAAAATACAATTAATTATTGTGATGTCAAAACTGAATTATAGCCATTACTTCAGAAATCATTCTAATAGGGTGATTTGCTGCTCAACAAACATTTCTTAATATTATCAATGTTGAAAACATTTCTGCTGCTTAATATTTTTGTGGAAAAGTGATACATTTGTCATGAGATATATTTCTTTGTTCTGTGTTGAACTATTTAATGCACCCTTGCTAAATAAATACATTTACAAAATCTCACTGACCTCAAACTTTTGAATGGTAGTGTAATTATGTTTCAAATCATGTACACCCACATGAGTCAAAGACCTATTATTAGTTCACGTTTTATTATAAAAATTCTTTGTTTCAGATTTTAAAATCCAAAAACGTTCTGTTCATCTCCAGGTTTGAAATACATTTCGAAACCCAGTCTGGTCTCAGATTTTGGACCCCACTGTATCAGCAGTGCTGCAGTTAGCGCTGTGTGTACAGCGACACAATAAAACTAAAATGCTTACCTTACAATTAACAAATGCAAAATTGTGATGCAGCAACTTCCAATGGGTATGAAGACAGCGAAGCTCATGTGATCCGCCTGCTATCAGATACTCACACTCGGTTTAGACAGACATACATACTCATGCATATACAGTGGGTACGGAAAGTATTCAGACCCCCTTAAATTTTTTACTCTTTGTTATATTGCAGCCATTTGCTAAAATCATTTAAGTTAATTTTTTTCCTCATAAATGTACACACAGCACCCCATATTGACAGAAAAACACAGAATTGTTGACATTTTTGCAGATTTATTACAAAAGAAAAACTGAAATATCACATGGTCCTAAGTATTCAGACCCTTTGCTGTGACACTCATATATTTAACTCAGGTGCTGTCCATTTCTTCTGATCATCCTTGAGATGGTTCTACACCTTCATTTGAGTCCAGCTGTGTTTGATTATACTGATTGGACTTGATTAGGAAAGCCACACACCTGTCTATATAAGACCTTACAGCTCACAGTGCATGTCAGAGCAAATGAGAATCATGAGGTCAAAGGAACTGCCTGAAGAGCTCAGAGACAGAATTGTGGCAAGGCACAGATCTGGCCAAGGTTAAAAAAAAACCCAGCCAGAGCCCTGACTTAAACCCAATTGAGCATCTCTGGATAGACCTAAAAATGGCTGTCCACCAACGTTTACCATCCAACCTGACAGAACTGGAGAGGATCTGCAAGGAGGAATGGCAGAGGATCCCCAAATCCAGGTGTGAAAAACTTGTTGCATCTTTCCCATAAAGACTCATGGCTGTATTAGATCAAAAGGGTGCTTCAACTAAATACTGAGCAAAGGGTCTGAATACTTAGGACCATGTGATATTTCAGTTTTTCTTTTTTAATAAATCTGCAAAAATGTCAACAATTCTGTGTTTTTCTGTCAATATGGGGTGCTGTGTGTACATTAATGAGGAAAAAAAATTAACTTAAATGATTTTAGCAAATGGCTGCAATATAACAAAGAGTGAAAAATTTAAGGGGGTCTGAATACTTTCCGTACCCACTGTACATGCAATACATCTTCACATATACACTTTTAGATAGACACAGAAGAGAAGGCATTTCTATTTATGTTTGTTTTGTTGGTTTGTTTGTACAATTTCAGTGCCACCTTCTGCAGTGGCTGTCAATCCCAAAATATTTTTCCTTTTGTTTAGTTCTGTTTTCTGCCTTATTTTTGTTGTTTTTGGTAGATCTAAAAAATACAAAAGGTTAGGCTTCATTTTCCTATTTTCATTCCTTCATTTTCTTCCTCAGTACACTGGGTCTTGCTCGGATTGCGGTCACACGCGTTTTGTCACTCTGAGCCTGTTTTGTTCTTCTCTCCTCCTCTTTTCCTCCCTCGCTCCATGTCTCCTCTCGTGGGTGGCGGTGCTGGGGCATGGGGGCGCTGTTGCAGACTTTTGCATGCGTGGCCTGTCTAACTTTCATTCCGATTCAAAGAAACGGATCCGTACTTCCTACCAGAGTAAGTCATGTCTCCAGTGAAACGCCAATGGTGGAAGCCCAACAGCAAGGAGGCAAAGCACAGACAATAGGATGTCATTTATCAAAATTAGTTGTTTTGATTAAGTTTACCAAAGGTAGAATTACCATACCATACTACACACAATACAATATATAATTATTTATAGTAATACAATTAATTGTTACAGAATATCATATTCACATGTTCTGAATTTGCATACATCAAAACATCCAATTACAATCTTTGATTGTCTCCTTGCTAAGTGTTATTGATTTGTGCCAAAGGTCATCAAACATGACCACGTTCTCACACTGTATGAAACGGAATACTAACAAATAAAATCATGCAAAATTACATGACTTTTCAATTTAAACAAAAAATTTGGATTTTTTGTGTGTGGGGAAAAAAAATGTCATACTAATAAAACGTCTCTAGGTTACGTATGTAACCATGGTTCCCCGAGGGAACGAGACGCTGCGTCGAGATCGCTTTAGGAACGCCCCTGCGTGACCGCGTTCTGAAGCACGTGTCAAATCAGCCCAATGGAGTAGTGAGACGTCACGGGCGGGGTGACGTAAGCACCAGAAAGTATAAAAGCGCATCCGGCAGAGCGCAAACCAGCTTCGATGAAGTAGCGCCTGCAGGGATGCCGGGAGTATGGCAAAGAGACGCAGCGTCTCGTTCCCTCGGGGGAACCATGGTTACATACGTAACCTAGAGACATTCCCCTTCAGGAACTCGAGCTGCGTCGAGATCGCTTTGGGAACGAGAATACCCACTGCGCCATACTACCAAGTCCCTGCCTGTGTGTGTATTTTACAAGCACATCACGAAGAGAGAACTTGGGTAACCTGGGGTAGATGCCAGGTCTAGGTTGTAAAAGCGGACAAAAGTGTGTGGAGAGGAACAGCCCGCCGCAGCACAAATGTCCTGCAAGGCCACACCCAGGTTGAAAGCCTTGGAGGCCGCCATACTCCTGGTCGAGTGCGCTCTGACCCCCATAGGAGACGGGAGGGAAACAGAGAGTGCCTGAAGATCCCCGATCCTTTTTAGTGAGGAAATAGCGAGGAGAAAGATGGTCTTGAGCCTGAGCAACTTGACCGAACTTCTTCTATGGGTTCAAAGGGGGCATTGCATAAGCCCTCCAGAACCATAGCCAGGTCCCATGAGGGCACCTTAGTGCGCTGTACCAGGCTCAGCCTCAGGGTGCCACGGAGGAAAAGAGTGATAAGTGGGTGTCTTCCCAATGATTGACCACCCAGAAGGGCGTGGTAAGCAGCTAAGGCCGCCACGTATACCTTCAGAGTGGAGGGAGATAACCCTGCGGAGAATCACTCCTGCAGAAACTCCAGAACTGTACCAATTGGGCAGTTGACTGGGTCCTGCAGTCACTGTCCGCACCATGAAGCGAAAAGTTTCCACTTCAAGGCGTACTGTTACTCCTAGTGGTGGGAGCTCTGGACTGGAGTATAGTCTCAACAACCTCAGTTGAGAGACCAGATGCAAGGAGCTGTGCCCCCTCAGGGGCCATGCCCACAGCTTCCATAACTCCAGGCGGGGGTGAAGAATGGCTCCCCCCGCCTGAGAGAGGAGGTCCCTCCTGATCGGAATCTCCAGCGGAGAGCCGTCGAGGAGGGACACAAGGTCCGAGAACCACACTCGGACCGGCCAGAACGGGGCTACTAGAAACAGACGGACCCCATCCCGGCGTACTCTCTCCAGAACTCCCGGGAGCAG